GGGGCCCACGGGGCTGACCTCTCCCTGGGCCCCGTCCTTCCTTGTTCCTCCTGCAGGCAGACGGGGGTCTTCAGAGCCCCTCACTGACCCTCCTGAACAGCGATGTCTACCTCACAGTCAGCTTCTCCAGGAACCACTGAGCCCAAAGCCCACAAGGCTCAACCCTCCTTCGACAGAAGGATGTGGGTCCTTCCCTCCCTCTCCCCGCCTTCAATGCTGCAAACACACTGTCCCGCCGTCTGCAGGCCGCCCGCCCGTCCCTGACCAGCCGGACATCCTACTAGCTTTGGATGGTCATCGGCCCTGCGTCAGGCTCAGAGAACGGCCCCGTGCCACAGCTGGTTCTCTGCCTCCTGCAACCACACGCCCTGAACAGTGCAGCTCCTTGTCACCCAAGGCCCTGAAAGGTGCGGCAGTGCCTGCTCTGGCGTGGAGAGAGAGCCCACTTCGCTCAGAGTTTAAGTGAAACCTCATTCAGTATTGGTTGTCTGGTCTCCACTGTGGCATCAGTGACGCCTTAACGCCCCTGCGCCAGGTAATCAGCTAAGGGAGGGGCTTGTCCTGAGCGCCGCCCCACAGAGACACGGCCAGTCCCACGGGGACCTAATGCCGCCTTTGTAAAAGTTCAGACAAAATGTAAAATCCCTTAGAAATGCAATTCCAACCAACCATTTTGAGGGATAAAATATTCCCGGGGCCCCTGGGGACGCCGGGGACGACACTTCAACGCCCTCTGCTGTCAGCCCGGCGCAGGCGGAGCGGAGGCCACCCTGACACCCCGGGGCCGTCTCCTATTCACACCGAGAAGGGCAGGACCAGGCCCCTGCACGCTTCCTGCCTCACACCGAGACCTGTGCGGCTTTCCAACGGTAGGTCCTTAAATCTGAGAGAGAAGTGCACGCCCAAGCTCAGGCACTGGACTCTCCTGTGGTTTTCAGGGGACGTTCCAGGAGGACAGCCAGGCCCACAGAGCCCAGGACCCAGGTCTCAAGTGAGGCAGAGGCGTCGCCAGAGGAGGAGGAGAGTCGTGTGCGGACCGGGGCCCCACCGGCAGCGGCGGCTGCACCTGGAGCAGGTGGGCAGGACGCGGCTCCGGGTGGCCGAGCGCCCTGGAGGCTGTGGGCTGAGGACATCCACGGCCGGGCCAGGGAGGGGCCGGGGGACGGCGAGAGTCTGAGGGCGGTTTTTCCCTGGAGGCGAGTCTGATGATGAGAAACCAGAATCCATGCTGGAGATTCTGAAGCCTCAGAGGACAGAGGGACAGTCATTAGGTTTCTGTTTCATCCTGGAGCAGGGACACAGGAACACAGTTGAGGCCCAAATTTCCACATCCCAGAAACAAGGAAAAACAGGAAATAGAGAACATCCCCAACTTTTCCTTTCCTGATTGTCGTAAAGTCATCTGTCCCTTTAGACCAGGCTATGTCAGAAGCAAAGTTAAATTATTGTGAAGGAATAAAGCAGCCAGAGCCTCAAATAATGCCTAAGATTATTTACATGAAATGTCCAGCATTCAATCAAAAATGTCCCTGCATCCAAGGAGCACAGAGGAAAACAGAAGTCAGACCCGAGGGGCCCATCAGACACAGACTTTACTGTAACTGTGACAGTACGCGCAAGAATTAGACCACAGCGGAGAGTTTGGGCAGGACACTGGAAGCCTGAAGTAAGTGGTGACCAGGGCCTGAGGGTGGGGACGTGACTCAGAGGGGACAAGCTTAGTTGTTAAGCGAGTGAGTTCTGGGCACATCACAGGCACAGCACGGTGCCTGTAGCTAATAACTCTGTTTCGTGTACTTAAAGTTTACTGACAGAGCAGATCTTGTGTTCTCACCACACCAACAAGCAAAAAAACGGTAACTGTGAGAGGTGACGGTGTGTGAGGTAGCTTGACTGTGGGAACTGCTTCACAGAGTGTACGGATGTCAAAACATCACAGTGCGTTCCTTAAAAATGTACAGCTCTTGTCGATTACACCTCAGCGAAGCTGGGAGAAACAACACAACGTAACGGACAAATCCTCAGTTGTACTGTCTGGTTTAAAAACGCATCTCGAGCACCTAACAGAAAAGGCAGCAAGAACGCAGCAAGGAGAGGACGAGGTGGGCGTCCCGAGGCCAACCAGCCAGGTCACCACAGCAGCCGAGCAAGGAGGAATTCCGGCAGCTGACGCAGAAGACCGTCCTCGATGAAACGCCGCGCACACACACACGCACACAGAACGCACAATGTCAGCGGAAAAGACTCGGCAAACTGGGAAGAGAAGTCCCCTTCTCAGCCTGCAGGCGGCTGTGTGCGAACCTGCAGGGGGTGGGCCTCCCTCGCTCGCGAGGTCAGGGAGGAGGCAAGAAACCCTGTCACTGCTGGCATTTAACCAGCGGGGACTGAGACAAGAATAAGGAATAATACACGAGGGCTGGAAAGGAAAACATACGTCCACCCTTACGTGTAGGAGCCCTGATTATGTATGTAGAAAATCCAATAAAGTAAACAGAGAAGTTTAAAAATCAGTCACTGAATTTGGCAAGTCGTTGGATAAAGATCCGCACTCAGAAACATTTTCTCTCTGCCTACCAGCAACAAGCAATCAGAAAATAGACCTCGAAAGATACCTTTACAGTGACATGAAGTGTCAAATAGTGACACATTGGGCAAAAGACCTGTGAGACTTTTAGGCAAAAATCCAGAAAATGTCATGGAAAAGAACTGAAGACCTAACTGAATTGAAAGACTCGATCATTTTAAGGACGCCAGTTTTCTCCCATGTTTTGTGAGTTTCATGTAAAGTCCTAGCGTCGTCGGCAAGAGTAAGAAAGTCCCGCAGAGGAACAGATTCGCAGCAGCTGTCGACGTGAAGCTGCAGTACCGCAGGCTGCCTCGGAAGCAGCCTCTGAGGAAGAGCCTCGTTCTTCCGGAGTCTCGTTCACGAGAGGCCGTGGCTCTGCCTCTGGCCCGAGTCAGGGAGCCGGGCAGGGCGGTGTGGCGCCCCCAAAAGCGGGGTCCCGGCGCAGCCCCAGGCGCGGAGGCCGTTCTGTCGAAGCCTGTGACGGGGTTTCAGGTTCACACTTTGGCCCCTGAGCAAGTGGCTTCACCGATATCACATTAAAATACAATTTCCGACTTCTGCTTGAAGTCAGTAGGTGAGTCAGCTGGGTGATTCACTGTCTCCTCACCGTGGTAATTGTGTTACATCCTGGAAGAATCAGGCTTGAATATTGATGGAAACCCTTTGAAGATCTGAGACACTGCGTTTTCTAAAGTAAGGTCACTTCTCTTTGCTCATACCTGACCTACGAAGTCCTCCTCAGAGTCAGCGCACTCAGACGAACATGACCGGGTGTTTGTCACCTTCTTCTGCAGGCGTGGGTCGGTCCTGGAAGGCGGCGGCTGCCACGGAGGTTTGGTGGGCCTGGGGGTGGGTGGTAGGACCCCAGGCTTTGGAAAATCCATCCCTGGAACATTCCACCGGGTGGGGATGAGGAAATTGTGTCCTGAGCCTGCTCTTCCCCGTGAGACGAAGCTGATGCCCGTGTGGGACCGCAGACAGGCGCGGGGCTGCTCTGGGTGCAAACGCAGCCCGCCCGGGATGGAAACTGGGCTTCTGCTCCTGCAGGCTCAGAGATGCGAGTAAACAGCCTCGGCGTGATTTGTGCGGTGACAGAAAAGGAGAGGACCAGTCCCCGAGCGCCTCCCCTCGGGGAGGGAGCGGGGCCCACAGCCTGGCGCGGAGCTCGGCATCAGGGCTTAGGCACGTGGAAGCCCAGCTCGCCGTGGGCTGGCACTGACCCGCCTCGGGGAGCGCCAGCAAGGCGGGCGGGGGTCTTTCCATCACTGTCTATTTGCTGGTCTAGAGCAGAGCTCCCACCGGCGAGTTGAAGCAGAAACAGGAACTTACTTGAAGGAGCCATGCAGTCACAGAGGGCGGGAAGCCAGCCAGGGCGGGGCGGACCCAGGAGCCTCGGTCCATCTGTTGCCTCGCCTCTTGGCTCCTCAGTTCTGCCTCTTCTCTGTGGAGCTGCTCCAGCCTTTCTCTCTGGGGAAACCAGCCTTCTCAGCAGCCCTGAGCCCCGGCCCTGCCTGGCTGCGTCCCCTCCAGCCCTTCCCACCCCCGGAGCCGGCACCTGGCCCAGGTGCGTGTCCAGCAGTGGAGGGGGCGCCCAATTGCTGGAGCCGACCCTGACCAGATGCCGGTACAGTGGCCACTGCAACCCTCGCCTCTCACAGACGTCCCCTCTCTTCCCTGCAGCAGGGAGGCAGGACGCTCACTGTGGGTGCTTGTGACCAGCCAGCGAGAGTCTGAAGTGTCATCAGCAGGACACCAGGCACCCTGTGGGCTCCTGGCCGTTCCTGGAGGAGCCCAGTCATCAGGCCCCATGATGAGCACGTTGTTCAGAAACAACTTCGCTGTGAGGAGAAAGGACAGAGTTCTAAGATGCTGAGATGGGTGATTTTATGTGTCTGCTTGATGGGGCCACGGATGCCCAGATATTTGATGAAACATCCTTCTAGGTGTGTCTGTGAAGGTGCTTTGGATGAGATTAGCATGTAAATCTGCAGACGGAGCAAACAGGCTGCCTCCCAACATGCAATCAGTTGAAGACCTGAAGGAACAAAAGGGCCAGCCTTTTCCTGTGTAGACGAACTCCTCCTGCCTGGTGGCCTTGAGCCTTGACATCCACTTTTTCCTGCCTCCAGGTTCAGACTGAAGCACCGGCCGCCCTGGTCTCCAGTGTGCAGGCTCGTCCGGCAGGTCTGGGGCTTGTCAGCCTCCACCGTTGCTTGTCCCTGACTCCTGTGGGCACGTCCTCCGGCTCCGTTCTCTGGAGAACCTGACCAGTGCAGACACTGTGCACTGGAGAGGAAAAGGGCCTCTTGGGGGAAGGGAGCAGACACCACACCTGCTGCCCACAGGGCCTGCTCATCCGCGCACATGGAGAGCGGGGCCTCCCCCTGTGGTGGCGCTGCATGGGCGGGGTCGCGAGAGGTGTGACACGCAGAAGCCATGCACAAACGAGGGTTTGTTATTACAGCTTCCTAAGGAGCTCGTGACATCCACAAGAAACATCTCCACGAACCCCTCAAATAACCCGCAGTGATCAGGAAAGTGTCCCCTGTGCTGGACCCCGCGGCCAGTGGCGGCCAGCGTCCTGGGCGTGGCCGGCGTGCCAGCTAGGGTCAGGCCATCAGCTTCCCCTTCTCTGTGAGAGGCCTCTGCCCGGCTCCCTAGGGACACCTGGAAGACTGAGATGTGGCCCCGTGAGTCGGACCGGGCAGAGCCTCACGGACGAGGGAGACTTGCGGGTGGTCAGCACAAGCAGAGTCTCATGTGTCAGTTTTATTGCAAATATGCTTCCCTCAAAGAAAACGACAAAGGAGGCCATGCCTGGCGTGGCCGTGCCCGGCATGGCTGTGCAGGAGTGTTTCCGCCGTCGGACACTGTCAGTGAAGGATCCGTCTCACGGGAAGCACGGTCCTCCCCCAGGCAGTGTCTAGCATCCAGCTCCTAGGGTTCCGTGACCTGCAAGTTGCCAAATCTGCTGCAGTCGGTGAGTCTGACAGTGAGATCGCGTGTAAACACGTGATGCAGCAACAGGGCCTGAAAACAAAGCAGTAAAACCTGAACGTGGGTTTTGGTGACTTTTGTACATTCAAGTCCTTTTTCTTTTAAACTTGCACAAAACCCACTGGCTTCCTTTTACACAAAACTCTGTTGATACCCATCCTCATCAGCATTCCCACGCCCGACTCGAGCGGCAGCCTCGTGAAGGCCCAGGGCATTCAAGCGGCAGGACGACAGGGAGCCTCGGGGGGCTGTGGATGTAAAGGCTGTGTCCGGGTGAGCCAGCTGGCGCCGTCTGCCTCCTGAATGTGCAGGGCCCTGTCAATCCCAAGCGCTTGCAGGCCTGGTATCGCTGGGTCTTCATGTGGACAGATGCCTCGTCTCCACATGAAGAGTCAGCACACCTGAGAAAACGCAGAGTTGGGACGGGGGCCTGAAATACAAAATCTGGAGAAGCAGCACCATGGAGCCCTCCCCCCTAAACATGCAAAGGGGTAGCCCAGAAAGTCCCTGCACTAAATTTCATCCCTGCAGGATACTGGGTGCCGTGTAAGAGGCACCTCTTGCTGGTTAATGGACAGAGGAACGTGACTCAGGTTCATTTCATCCAGGGTGCTCCCTGACCCTCGCCTCATTATCCCCCAGTGCCCACAGGGTACAAGGCAACAGTGTGAAACAGACTCAGGTGAAAGGAATGGGGACGTCTTCTCCTTGGGACCAAAAGCCTTTCCCTGGCCACTCAATCACAAATCCAACTTCAGTTTTAACTCCTGGGGTCCACTGTGCCCCCCAGGAAGTGGGGACCATTGGCATTTCTGGTCCCTGAGAACTGGGGATTCCCACCTCCAGGGAAGAGGGTGTCATTGTCCCATTTTAGGAAGTATTACACCAAAGCTCAAGGAATGTAAGTAACTCCGTCCCTGTCACCCACAGCATCCACACTTTCTCAATATTGGTGCACGTGTAAGGTCATTGCTGAGAGACAGCAGGTGAGGGGAAGTCTGAGGACAAGTTAGGACCCACAGAAGGTGAATTAGGACCCTCACAGGTGAGTTAGACCCACACAGGTGAGTTAGACCCACATAAGTGAGTTAGGACCCACACAGGTTAGTTAGGACCCACACAGGTGAATTAGACCCACATAAGTGAGTTAGGACCCACAGAGGTGAGTTAGACCCACATAAGTGAGTTAGGACTCACAGAGGTGAGTTAGACCCACACAGGTGAGTTAGACCCGCACAGGTGAGTTAGACTCACACAGGTGAGTTAGGACCGTCTGCAGATGGGCAGGGTGATACACTCACGTGCATGTCTGCATTTGGATGCTCTGATGGGTAAAGTTTCCAGAACAGGTGGGTGCCGGGCTGAGTGAAATTTGGGGCTGAGGTGAACACTCTGGTCGTGGTTCTGAGAGTCAGAGCTGATGTGAGTCCTTGTCCCTTCTCTTTCATGGGTCTGACTCGCCCTCTGAAACGCACCTGCAGGACGTCCGGGGAGGATCAGCCATGGGTTAGACGGTGGTGGGTGCACCAGTTCAAGAGCCAGAGAGAAAGCCCACGAGCCTGCCTGCTTGTGGGCCTGGTCGGCACGCGAAGCTCCCCTCTGAGAGCAAGCAGGCTACTAACACATGTTTGGAGGTAAGAGAAGACAACACCACCAGGTCCCCCTGCAGACGGCTGGGGCCGCCTGACCCGTGTGAGGGCAGGCCACATCCTCCAGGGAAACGCGGACAATCCACTGCCTATTCAAAAAATACATTTCCTTATAAAATAGAGTAACATGTTGGACCCGACAAAGCCCTGGGAAGAGGTCTCATCAAACCCGGTGGTGTGGTGACCTCGTAGCTGGGCGAGCTGAAGGCTCCAGGAGGAAGGGGAGGCGTCACTGTCGCTCTGAGGAGCAGCACGAACTTGAGAAGAGGTATGCGCCTGCACTTGTCTGCGAGAAGCAAACAGATGCACTTTCCCTCGCTGTGACTGCATCATTTACAGGACGCCGAGTGGCCCAGTCCTCCACCCCAGCCGGAGCGCGAGCACGAGCCTCTGAGCCACCCCGCTGGGCGCGGGGTGCCAGCCCCCGCCACGCTGAGTCACAGCCGCCCCTGCCGCAGCTCTTCCCGGGCAGCGTGTCCAGCAGGAGAGGAAGCCTGTCCAGGTACTGAGCAAACCTAAGAGTCGCTGAGGTGACGCTTTGGTCTTGAGCCGCTGACGTCTGCGGGAGGAGGTCAGACACCTGCCGGAGATCCGTAGTTTAATCCCAGAGCCCGGGGTGCTCTGACTTTCTCGTTGAGACTGGTTGAATGTGGGCTATTTGGTCAGTGAAATTATCAACTGAATGACACAGCATTTCTCTCTTACTTCCAGCTGCGGTCCTTCACAGCCACTTCGGTGAGGGCCTCTGTCCTTGTCACGCCTGCCTCGACCGTGTTGTGTCCTGAGGTCCAAGTGTGTCACAAATGTGTCATGTTTACTTATGAATGAATGGATGAATTGGCATATGGGCAGTGTCTTGTTGGGGTGTCAGACTCGCCAGTTTACCAACATTTTCTTCTCTCCATTCTTTTTCTACTTAGTATTCTATCCAGTGCTGCTGATACAGGTAATAACTAATTCTTATTTAGCAACTCACAGTTTACCAAACCCTTGATGTCCTCACATTTTACCTGGACAAACCCCCGGCACAGGCGTCAGCATCGTTCTCCCCTCAGCTGATGAGCTGAGGCTCGGGGAGCCGAAACGACTTCAGTGCAGACTGTGTGATTCGGCAGCGGGTAAATCTCCTGTCTTCTTCTGGTGCGACTGCGTTTAACACTAAGTTTACAGACGCTGTTTCAACAAGGCGCCACCTCACCTATCAGAAGGACCAAATGCAGACATTGACAGCACTGCGGGCCGGCGAGGATGTGGAGGGACGGGAACCGGCTCGCGGCTGGTGGGAACACAAAACAGCATCGATACTTGGAAGACAGTTTGGTGGCTTTTCACGGAGCTAAGCGCTCTCTTACCACGCTACCCAGTAACCATGCCCCCTGGTGTTTACCGAAAGGAGCTTCAATGTTACGTTCACACAGAAGCCTGAGCACAGATGTTTATTGCAGTTTTATTCATAATTGCCAAAACCTGGACACGACCAAGATGTCCTTCAGCACATGAATGGAAAAGTAAACTGCGCAACATTCCAGACATAATAACAGAATGTTATTCAGCACTAAAAAGAAAGGAGCTGCCTGCCCATGAAGAGACATGGAGGCACTTTATATTCACGTTAACTGAGTGAAAGGACTGGATCTGAAAGGGCTATGATGCACGATGCCGACTCTGCAGCATTCTGAAAAGACAGAACCACAGAGACAGTAAAGAAAGTCAGTGGTGGCCGGGGGTTGCTGGGGGATGGACAGGTGGCAAGAAGGTTTCAGAGCCGGGCAGCCACTCCGGTAACACCGTCACGGTGGGTCCTTCTCATCACACGTGTCTATGCCCGCAGAATGCACGACAGCACGAGTGGACAGAGCCAGCTGTGGACTCGGTGGTGAGGACGCGTCCAGACGGGACGTGGCTGATCAGCTGTAACGGACACTCCGGCTGGCGGGGGTGCTGATGACCGGGGAGCGTGCCACCAGAGGCTGTGCCTGAGCCCTCTGAACCTTCTTCCCAGGTTTCTGTGAACCCAAAGCTGCTCTGAAGAATAAAGTCTAGCATGATGGTCCCCTGCGTGAGGACAGACTGTCTCATCCGTGGGCACACGTATCTGTATCGTGTGTGTTATAGTTACATACGTGTATATTACCCAGCCGCACAGACACACATGGCCGAGCAGTCTGCTGGCTAAGAGGTGCAGCCCTTGCTGAACAACTGACAGCCGCCCTGTGGTTCCCTCGTCCCCGGGCTGCAGGCTGCCCTCCTCACCTCTGCTAATGAGCAGAACGAGCCACAGTGCTGTTTCCCTAAAACGTGAACCCCAGCCCCCCAGCTTTATTCCAGGGCCTGGGGAGTGTCCTCCATGCGGGCGCTCACTCTGTCTGGGACCAATGTTCTCCGCTCTGGACCCACTGCAGGCCCGTCCCCCGAGGGCCGGGCTGCATTTCTGTCTCTTGTCACCGTCACATCTGCAGACGCTGGGCCTCCGACTGGAGCACCCGCACTGTCCTGACGCCACAGTGCTCATTTGCGCATTGTCTGCACACATTGTTGGCGTGCAGCTGGCCACATTATCCGCACAGCCCAGCAGGCAAAGCAAAACTGCACCCAGGCTATGCTGATAAGCTGCTCATTCCCTCAGCCTGGGCTGTGAGAAGCCAGAAGAAGGAACGGGAGGAGTCACCAGTGGGCGGGAGCTGAGTCACGCTGGTCCCGAGGACCCGCAGAGACACCTGCCGCTCCAGGAAGCACTCGTGCGAACAGCGCTGCCCTCCCGACCTCAGCCTCTCCAGGTGAGGCGGGCTGAGCTCTGCCTACAGCCACCAACGTCCAGTAGGAGATGGATGCCCAGAGGACTGTGCCCACGTGGGCCCTCCCGCCACCGCCTCCCTGCCGCCTGCACCCTCCCGGCTGGAGGCAGGGCCTCTGTTTCCCCACCTGGCCATCCACGTATTTCAGCATCTTTGACAAACAGCTCGCCTTCATGGTACATATGGTTTTTGGTTTCTTTATTGTTTGGTTTTTACTTCTGACTTATTCTAACTTCTTCTGATCTAAGGGCGGGATGACAAATGTGCATTAATCATCCTGACCGGGGACAGTCCAGTCTCACGCCCGGACGCAGAGCTGGGGCCAGGCTGACCGCAGGGAGGAACTCAATTACGTGGGGTCTGCAAGATCCGTGACACAGAGGGCCCTGCTGAGCCAGGCCCTGCTGCTAAAAAGGTGCCTTTCCTTCTTTCTTTTTTTCCCAGTGTTTTTATTGACAAAATACATGTAGCATAAGATTTACTATTTTAACCGTTTTTAGGCGTACAGTTCAGTTGGTGAGAATGTAACCAGTGCAACCACTTTGGAAAACAATATGGAGGTTCCTCAAAAATATTAAAAAGAGAACTACCGTGTGCTCCAGCAACCCCCCTGCTGGGTGTGTGATCAGATAAAATCACTCTCTGCACAAGACATCTGCACCCCGTGTTCACGACAGGCGAGAGACGGTAACAACCTAAGTGTCTGGTGGTGGATGAACGGATGAAAAACGTGTGTGTGTATATGGTGGCATGTTCTTCACCCTTAAAGATACAGGAAGCCCTGCCGTTTGCAACAACGTGGGTATCCTGACTATGCTAACTGAAGTCAGCTGGACGCAGAGGACAACGTGCAGGGTCTCACTGACAAGAGACCACCTTCCTCATTGTTTTCGCTGTGGTAAATGCATCACATACTTGACGAAGTGGAAGAACTGACTTTATAGAGACATTTAACCTAAATTTCCTGGAAGTCTCCTGTGCGTCTCCAAGTTTCTACCACAGGCAATGACGTCACCCCAGTACGGTGGGACCCTGAGCGGTTCTGTCACCGCAGTGGTGGGACCCTGAGCGGTTCTGTCACAGGAGCTCCAAGATCCGCTGTGGGACATTTCCAATTGGATCAAACCAAACAGTCCACAGGCTGCTGCGCTGCATGACCCACAGCCCCGGGGGGGAGGTTTGGGAGCTGCCTTGAGATCTCCGCCACATCCAGCAAAACCCACAAACAGCACTGAAAATGGAAAGTATTTCCGCCATCTATTAAAATGCTCGAAACACTTAACGCACACATTACTTTTTAAGAAACCAGTCAGAAACAGCAGAATCACCAGTGGAAGCACACAGTGCGCATCCAGGTGCTTCCTTGCGAGCGGAGGGTGCGTGCGCGGCCGTCAGGAGCAGGTTCCAGAATCAGCCCCAGCTCAGCCACTTACCTCCTAGCCGGCCCCACAGGGAGACCTGTGCCCACGCATGTGAAAGGGGCGTTACACGTGTGGCTTATGCGCGTCATCGAGGGGAGGGAGTTAATCCACACCCAGCGCGGCGCTGCCCCAGAACCGCTCAACGCACAGCCATGGCCTCGCAGTCCAAGTCCCGTCCAGGATCTTCCCGGCCCTTGAATTCTAACCTGTCATTCTTCAGCCCAGGTGAGGATCACAGCCCCAGGCCTCTGGGGCGTCCCTGGGGACTTACACGCTCATGTCACGGTTTATTCCTGTTCCGCTAATTCTGAAATAGCTCAGACTTGAGGACTCCAGAGGAGCGGTCGGAGTTTATTTCCAATTCTTGACACACACACACACACACACACACACACACACACACACACACACACAGGGGTCCTGCAGCGGAGAACAGCCTTGTTCTTGAAACACACGTGGACGACCCAGGACTGGGATTTACTGGGCGCTTTGCCCCAGCCTCACACCAAGCACCATCTCCTTCCCTTCTCAGAAGCAAAACCCAAGTGTATCCCTTTTCTGAGGCCGAGCCCTTGCCTGTCATCTCGGTCTCCCAGTGCTGATCAACACTCTGTCCCCAGATGTCTCCTAGTCCAAGTGCCCTGATAGCTTTTTCCTCAACAGAAGTGTTCTCATTCTTTTTCTTCTTATTAAATGAATACAATAGCCAGTAGAAATGTGAGAAAAGGCTTTCAAGCACCGGATTTCCAAAAATGACAACTAAAACAATAGTAGAATCTTCCTTTTCCAGGCAAATTGGTGAAGGAGGGAAAGGACCCCTTGCTGTGTGTTCATTGGTGGGATGTCCAGGGTGAGCTTTTGGAAAGACCACCTAAAAATGTGTGCTGATAATTTTAAAAATATGTGCAACAGTGCCAGAAAATTTTTGTAAGGAAAAGAAAATTTGAGAAGAAGCAAATATGCATGTTTAAGGATAATCTTTACAGCAATCTTAAAAATTGAGGAAAAAACCTGGAAACAAAATAATTCTCAGTTAGCAGAAGAGCAGTCAGGTAGATTATGATAAATCCACAAGTAGAATTCTATGAACACCCAAAATCGTAATTATAGGTTGACTTACTTGGAAACATGCTGGCAATATTCTGTTAAGTGAAAAAGAAAGGTTTACAAAAGAGGAAAACAGCAGTATCCTATTTTTGAAAACTATAAAGTACACAAACTGAGAAACCTGGAAGAACACATACTAAATAGCTAAGAACAATTATTTCTGGGTGATGAGATAAATGGATGATTTAATGTAGTTTACTTCTGTTAATTTTTTAAATATTCTATAATGAACATAAAGTACTATTACAAGGAGAAAAAGTATTTTTCCCTTAAAAGTATAAACACATATTGCAGCAAGGTGCACCAATTTTAACATATTGTATCAATTTTTCTGACATTACAATAAATACCCCCAAAATCCGAGTCCCCTCTTCAATGTCAGAATTTTCCCGTTTTGTCTGAAAGAATAATGGCAAGCATCACTTTCTAGGAGAGCCCAGCGCACGTGAACTCACGCTGCCTCCCAATGTGAGCTGTAGGCTCAGGGGTCACACTGTTTCTGCAGCCTCCCCAGGGAGTTTACCTTGGCAGAAATCAGAACCTAGGGCTCTCAGGTTTAACCACTTGAACGAGTGGGCGCCAGCCGTGCTGCGCAGGCTCAGTCTTCACAGAGACTCACTGCACCTGCCCCTCGCTCCTTCCGTCGCTGGGTCTCCACGGGGTGCATTCGCCGCCCTTCGTGGTCATTTCTTGAGCGTCAGCGTGTGGGTGGGGACACTCGGGGGCTGGGACGATGCTGCTGCCCCGGGCCCTCGTTCAGGGGCCTGGGTTCTGGGAGGGGGTCCTCCACCGCACCTGCCGTTCTCCCCCCACCACCCCACCCCAGGGAGAGACTGGGCCCGGGGTACCGGTCGCCGGGTGGGGGCTGGGGGCCCGCCTGCGGGAGGGAACAGTTGCCTTCTCTCTTCTTCCTTTTCTCCTTCTTCTTCTAAGAAATTGCTTTCCCTTGGTGCCCAGAAAGCTAGAGCTCATGGTTCTGGAAACGATCATCATCCACACGCTTAGGGTCTGTGCTTTGTCAAGACTCTTAGCGTTTGCTTCCATGAAACCTGTTAGAAATTTTGCTTTTGATGAAAGGTTTTTAAAAAGTCACTTTTAAGTGGAAGATTTTAGACTCACATGGTATTTAGAAGTAGAGTCTCTCACTGATGTGGAATGCGTAGAGTATGGTCCTGTAGGTTTCATGGAGTGTTCGTCATTCGTTTCAGTCAAGGGGAACTGAAGGTCTTCTGCCCTTCGATGGCTCTCAGCTCTTTGTGGCTCTGGGGGCAGACAACGGGGCAGGCGAGCTGTGTTCACGCTCCCAGGCCCCTGAGCCCCCAGCCCTCTGGCCTCAGATGCACGTGGGGGCCTGAGGGTCCCTGTGGGGAGAAGAGTGGGAGCCCTTTCACACAGTAAGCTGAATGCTGCGCCTAAGCGCCTGCTCTTCCCCGGACCCTGCTGATTTCAAAGGATGCCAGGTGCTGACTGGGGGGCAAACTAGCATTTAACCGGGAATCTGCCTCAAAACCTTGCAGGAAACAAACAGTTACCCGCTCTCCTTTCTGTCTCTTCAAGACCTCTCTTGCTTTTCGTTCGATTTTGGAATATATGCAGCTCTGTAAAAAACCGAGTTTTTATAAAACATTTGGCAAAATGTGGATTTCTTGCAAAATTACTGGAAAGGTTACCAAGACAAGAGTTATTTAACTCCCTTGTGGGCTGATTTTGTTTTGCTTTGTTTTGTTTTCGAGTGTTTCGACACTTATTTGGGCGGACTGGTTCAGTTTGTTTTCTCAGAGTACTCCTGGGGGAGGCGGGTCATTAGCTGGCAAGTGGGACTGGATGAGGAGAAACTTGGGGTTCGTGGCACTTTATGATGGCCCAGGTGTCTGGTGGACGGGGTCAGCGGTGGTGCAGTTGGTGGTGGGCCTGGCAGTGCGGTCAGCAGAGCTGGAGGCACCACAAGAATCTCAGCTGCAGGCGCCCTCTGCTGTCAGAGCCTCCCTCCATCCCCTCTCCATCGCCCCTCTATCCCCCTTGATCCCACTCCCTCCCCCTCCCTCCCCATCTATCCTCCCCTCCATCCCCCCACAGCCGACGATCCCCATCTGCCCTCCACCCCCTCCATCCCCTCTTCATCACTTCTGCATGTTAAGGAACAGCTTCATTCATTCTTTCTTAGGATTTTGAGTATCGTTGTAATGCAACTCCCTGTCCCCAGTTCATCTTTGAAAGGGTGGAGAGGCTCCAACCGAAAAAAGTAAGAATCAAGGACAAACTCAAAATTGAAGCCTCCAGCGAGGCCCCAACCCGACATGCAGTGGGCGTGTTGTTGGCGAGGACATGCACCCAGCTCGCCGCAGACGGGCCACAGGTGCCACCCAGTGAGACACGTCCTCGCTCTGCACCCACTGTCACAGGTGCAAAGTGAAAGGAGGTCGCCTCTCCCTGACAGTTCTCACCTGGTAAAGACAGGGGTGTCTGCCAAACACTGTGGCCCAGGTGACTCGACTTGGGCAGACTGTCTACAGCGCCTTACGTCCACGCCGCTCCCTCATAAAGACCCTGCCATCTAACTGACCTTCTCGTCTCTCAACACCTCCTTCTATTTGGAAGTAGATGTTCTGGTTCACTGGGAGGAATATCAAACATCAGCTCTATGCACTCTCTATGCACTCTCATATCTAGAGAGACATCTCTAGATATGAATATTTGCCACCTTACACAGACAGAGAAGCCAAGACTCTGGTTTGTTTACTGTAACTCTATTTTATTATCCCCAACTCTGATTGCTACTTGAGCAATTGGGCCTGAAGAGACAGAAAATCATCTTTTATTAGGTTCAAGATTGTGCTAATGGAAGTGACCACGTGCCCCCCTGGACAGTGATTTATCCATTCATGAAGAATAAATTAGAATTGCCAAAGCCATGCTACTAATGAGTCAAAACAAGGAGTTTACGTCCTCCTCACCTCTTAGAGCCTTGGACCATTTCATGGCTGCGGAATGTCAGACCTCCAGGCCACAACTCTGAAAGAGGGCCCTGGTCCCGGGACAGGCAGGTTCCCCACGTCAGGAACACTGGAGCACCAGCGATGGATCTGCAGGAGGCAGTTGAAGGCGGGGCAGCTCTGAGTAACTGCTGAAAGCAGCGGACCTCTCTTTCTGCACTTCCTAATCTGTGTATTTTCTTTGAAAGATGCCAAGAATGACACAGCTGCATCCTCTTAAGACATTTATGTCCATGGAAATGAGGTGGGCTTTCAAAGTTTAATTATGGAACATACTGAAGACACATCTAAATAAGGGGAAATGAGTCTTCTAAAAAAGACCTTCTTTAAAAGTTGTACAAATGAAAAGACACAGGAAGGCTGGGGTCTGAGTCAGGTGGGCAGCCCCAGGGGTGCAGGATGGACTCACCTCATCTGTGTCCCGGGGAAGGTGGCAGGTCCTTGAGTCTGACAGCTGGTGTCTGGACACCAGTGCCAACCGTGGTTCACTTCCAGGGCTGCTGGACTTCGTAAACGGCCCTCTGCTGACATGTGGAGCTGCAGTACCCACCTTCAAGTATCAGTGAGAGGAATGAAGAACAAAATGTTTCAAGGGGTGCTCAAATGGAGTTGCCATTGCTCTGTTGAGAGTCAGTGGTTTTCCGGCCCCTGATTTCTCCCAGGAAAATGCTGGGCTCTGTCACGGCTGCTCTGGGCAGGCAACTTCCCACACATGCCACACTCCTCACTCCCAACTAAGGGACGACACACGACCTGGGAGCACGCTGGGTACAGGGGAGGAGGTCCTCACAGTAAAGGCAAATGGGTAATGTGATGCGTCTGCCCCACACAGAGCTCAGAGTCCCAGCACACACAGGCCAGTCGCCACCCCCACCTCCAGCTCAGAGGAAGCACCTCTGCCAGGGCCCTCTGAGAGCTTCTTCCACAAGACCGAAGCTGCCAGGTAACCCTGATGTCCTCAAGGACGGGAACGGCCCTAGTGGCTGTCCACCCCATCACCAGCTTGGGTGGGTCAGAGGCAGGCATGAGGAAACATCTGGCAAATCCAACACAAGGCAACGAGGGGCAGCTCCATTCCAGGCAGTGCTCAGGGCTCCCCGCAGTGGGCTACATAGCTGTTGGCCAGCCTCCTGCCAGCCTGGCATCATCCGGCCACCACAGAGACAGCAGTGGGCTCTTCCTTCACTGGCTGCCCAGCGGGGCTGCAGATGTCCTGGATCCTGAGGGACAGTCTCAGCCAGAACACCTCCTACCAGCAGTACAGATACCGGAGGAGGAATTGATGAACTTTAAAACGTCTGTGATTAGTATGTGCAAGAATTGGTAAAACAACAAACTTTAGCAGGGGGTTGGAAGCTATAGAAAGACTCCTGGGAATTCTAGAATTAAAAAATCAGTAGCTGAAATCAGTAACAAACTTGCCAGAAGGGACAGTTAGTGAAGTAGACAGTAAGAGGTGAGCCTCAGAGCAAAGCACAGAGAGACACAGGAGAGAATCCGTAAGAACAAAGTGCAGGACCTGCTGAACTTGCAGTCGGGCTCTGGAGGGAAAGGAGCCCTGGATGGAGAGAAGTAATCACTGAACAGATGAAAAGTCTCCAGAGCTGATGAGAGACATCAAGCTGCAGATTTGAGAATCCCATGACCCCCCACTCAGAATAAGCATGAAAGAATAAAGAAATAATATTCCAGAACAAACAAAGACAATCAGAAAATCTTAAAAGCAGCCTGGAAAAGAAAAGACATGCCGTTTTACAAAAACAGAAACTGAGACCGATAGCTAACTTTCTGACCAAAGAAGCCAGAAGCTTCTGCATAAGAGTGTCTCCAAAAATAATAAAAGCAGATAAATGTGAGTGAAGATTCTATAGGCAGTGAATGCATCTTGCTAAAATAAAGGGGAATATAGCAAATTTATTTAAAAGGGGTGGGGCAGGAATTGAAAGGGAATATGAAAAGTTAGAAAAACCTTGTCAGTTGCCTGAGAGATACTGATTTCCAGTACAAGGGTGTTACTTCAAGTTAAATGCTAGGAGGGAGATCACTTACTGAGAACCAGGGGACAGCGTTCAAAATAGAGGGAATCAGAGGGTATTGGGTGAGATTACTGGGATAAAGCACACAATACACAGAAATACAAACCTTTCTATAAACTGAATGGCAAGCGGGGAGCACGGAGGGCAGAGAATAAGCTGAGGCAGAGACTGTGAAAGGCAGGTGTCACATAAACACAACGTAAAATGGAACAAGAGATTCAGATTGAAACACCAGCTTCAGTAAATGTACGTGTGCTTAACGCACTTACTGAAAACGTTTTAGGTTGACTAACAGGGCAAAATCCAAAAGTATTTTGTACATAAGCAACACACCTTAAACAAAAGGTTAAAAAAAAAAGCTCTAAAAGGAAGGGTTAGAACAGAGCGGTGAGTGTCAGTGGTACGAAGTGGGCCTCCCTGTTTTCATCTGTGATGGGGCAGGGTTGTGCAGGAGCCCTAAGAGACGAGGAAGGATGTGCTCTGACTCTGAGGATTCAGCTCCTGATAATTACAACCCAAGGATGGAGCAGAACCTGCCACAGGCCGGAAACTGCAGGAGACCTGCGGGGGAACAGGAGGAAACGCAGGCAATTCTCTCAATCCGAGACAGGCACTGACGTTGAAGACTTTGTGTAAGTGTGTTCGTCACAATCAAGGTGATCAGGAAGACACTTGCACGGGTAGGTGGAGAATTCTGGTCCCTGACACTGGAGAACACAGCTTTGCTTCAAGTGCACAAGGAACGTTCTTAGAAGTTTGATCACAAAGAAAACCTACACAATCTCAGAGGAGACTTCGAAAAATTTCAAGGAAAAGAAACGAATATCGGATTTAAAACGTCAGGTAACGGACCGCGAAAGAGCGAGAGACGGGACAAGCCGGCTGTTTGCCCGCATTTCCGCGTGTCTGT